AAAGAGGAGGAGGAGAAAAAGAAGGAGAAGGAGAAGTTTCCTCTGTAAGATGCAAGTCAGCTGGAATGCTTCAAGACTTTTCTTCAGGGTGGTGTTTTTTTCCAGTCATTCTCAAAGCAAAGCACCCCCTCAAAGATCTCCACTACCGCCCTGCCCACTGCTGTCCAGTTCATTTTCAAAGCCCCTTTTTAGCACTTTATAAATTCATGAAACAGGACTGGTTTCTTGCTCGCTCCTTCCATCCCTACCGTACATTGATCGCTTCGTTTCCAGTAATGCCTGCTAGTTTCCTATTATGCATCCATCTGCCTCTGTAATTGAATTTGCAACACTTTGCCAGAAATCTATCTTTCTTTAGCAACACCGATAATGAAGAGGGAGCTCACTGTGAAGCACACCCGTTGGCAGCCCCCAGAATTTCCCTGCCAAATGTGATCAAAGATTGTGGCTATTAAAACATCAAATCACAGGGCAGTCATGTTGCTTTTTCGTGTGGATTCTGGCTCGCCCAAGGCCCATCTGGGGAGAGGACTGGTAAGATTGAAAAATCTTTCCCTTAGGATCATTTTGCTTGTGGCTACATAGGGATTCTAGCCTGCTTCCTCTTTTGACTCCATCCTCCAGTTCTGGCACTTCTTCTCCTTACAGTTTCAACGCTAATAGTCCATAATAGCTAAACACTTCTGAAGAAATTTGAATTACTCTTTCGGTCTTCCTGTAGATCTGTACTTGGGCCATACTTACAGATAGTTCTCAATTTATGGCCACTCGTTTCATGATGGTTCAAACTTACAACAGGTGTGAAAAGAGGGTCCCACGACCTGTATTTTCACTTAGACCATTGTATCACCTCTATGGACATGTGAGCAATAAGCCTGTATTGACAACTGGTTGCAACATCGTGTGATTGTAATTTGGGATTATTACTTTTTTTTTTGCCAGTTTCTGGTAAAAGGTGCCCTTTGGGGAAGCTGGATTTGCTCAATTTGCTGAACAACCTTTGATTCTCTTTGACAATTGCTGTTAAAAATGGTCATACAAATCAGGCCTGACTCAATTTATAATTGCAATAATCTGCCATGGAAATTCCAGCCTCAATTGTGGTTGTAAATCAAGGACTACCTGTTATGGGCAACCATTTTTGTTCTGACCCAAGCCAAATTAAACAAACACAAAATATGCATAAAAGCAAACCCTTTTAATGTGGCGCTGTGAATTCTGTTCATTCACAGCCAAGAGTCATTCAAAACTAATTGTTCCCAGATAAGAACAAGCCCTTTCAAGGTTGCAAAAGTCTGCCAAGAATAAAAGACTAATTGCAGATAAATATCCCAAGCCAGAAATTTCAAAAAACAAACCGGAGTAACCAGGGCTTCAATGAGGACTCTGAGCAGAAAGAAATTCATTGCTTCCTGCAAAGAAGCCAACTCGGAAGACTGGCTTTTATCCCTTATGGGAGGGTCCATCACCTTCTAGCCTTACTCCCGAGTCGCCCGTGCTGCTTCAGCTGGTCTTTCCTTCGAGCAGCCCTGTGCGCACGTGCACTGAGCACAGGCTCCCTGGGTCCCTCTTCGTCACTGCTGCCAGACTCCACAATCTCCGCAGGCAGAACCCCACTCTCCGATAGTCTTAGTCCCACCCCTGCATCACACACAGGTCCCTCATCCAAGTCCTCACTCTCAGAGATCGCTGCTGTCTGCACCTGCTGCTGGCGAACTACAACAATTTTTGTGTTCAGGACCAGTGGTGGGATGCTGCCGGTTCGGACCGGTTCTCCTGAACCAGTATCTCCGATGATTAGCTGGCCCCGCCTATCTGCCCCACCCTATTCTGTCCTATATTTCCACGTTTTTCAGCTCAGCTGATTCGCGCAGCACCGTGGATTCCCGCGCCTCAGCTATTTGACTTACTGGGGCTGCCCAAGAAGGTGCTTGAAATGGACAAAGCGCGCTCTCATAGAACCGGTAGTAACATTTTGTGAATCCCACCACTGTTCAGGACCACACGTGGATGATGCAGAATTAGACTGAGGGCAGTGAAACGATGAAGCAAATATTATCCCCAAAAAGAACGGGGGTATTTTCATAGCCATAGAAAAACCACTTTTATAATGCTTAAACCACATGCAGTGTTTTCACGATGGCCTTCCTGGACCCCGCTTCTATCTTTACCCTCTTCCAATGAAGATGCTGATGCTCATCTCTTCATTCCTGCAGGCTGCCCGTTCTTCATCTGTGTCATTTCTGCAACAACATCTGTGGAAAGCTATGGAGAAGTCAACAAGTAAGTTCTGCAAATGAGATACTATAAATTTGTGGTGGCGGTGGTGGTGGCTCCTTTGAAGAATGTGGAGTTTGTGGATGGTGTCATGCACCCGTGTTTGCTCCAACGGTCAGCATTGAGCAGTCTCCATGAATCCATATCTTGGCCCAATGTCCTTAATGCGGCATCCTTCAGGTGTATCTGAGAATGGTGGAACGAAGTCCAGAAGATAGCTTTGTCTTTCTTCCACATCCAGATCATGTTAAGACTAGCAAAGGTGGCATTCCATTTGCAATGTTAGTTCTCAGGTGACCACCTTCCCGAGACAACTGGGGTGAAGATAAAACTATGGATTCTCTCCCTCTCTTATGTTCCTTGAACAAAGACCTGGAATGAAGCAAGCAAGCAAGAGAACCAATTTTTTTCTGCTGTCCGTCCCATCCCAGCTACATATTTTTAAAAATCAATGGTGGTTTGGAACTCATAGACCCACCATCCTCGTGCTACAATGTCATAATGTCTTTCCTTCTTTCTTTGCAGCTGTTGGCTTTCATTGGAGAGCGGCGCCATCTGGGCTTTTGTGGCCCCAGCTCTGTTCATCATTGTGGTAAGTTTGTCTTCCTTCTCTTCTCCCTTAGAAGCTCCCAGTGGAGCTGGTGGGATGACCATGGCCAACCACATTTGACCGTATGGAGCTCAGCGCTGGTTGTGCCTTTTCCAACCAACAGATTTTCTGAAAAGCCATCCGTTTCCCCAGATGCACCTCCCTTCACCAGAGGCCTCAGATAACATCTGTGAAGGATGATGCAGCTCACAAAAGCTGGTGCCTTTAATAAAACTTGTTCATTGGGGGGGGTGGAAAGTAACTACCAGGTGTCTCCTGCCTTTTTACTTACACATTTTACTTACACATACGCCAATCTCAACCGAACTATTTTGCTTAAGTCTTGTGCGGTGTTAAATGTTATTTTCAGAATCTGGCCGCACATGAACCGTATTTTATTCCCATTTCATTTTAAATTGTATTTTATCCAATGCCATTTTAAATTGCATTTTATCAGACCTGAGTAATATTTTGTGTCTGGAACTCTGCACTTGGATATGGCCCAAGGGCTAATCAATAAAGTAAACTAAAAACTGACTTCAGTCAGAAACGATGAAGCTTTTGGGATGAGAAGCAAAACGTCTTCAAGAAGAAATGAAGTCCAGTTGCCTTTTGAAAAAGGACCTTTGGAAAAACAAAGGCTATGGCTGCAGCATCCTTAAAGGTGAAGATAAAGTTTCCCCTTGCACATATGTGCTAGTTGTGCTAGTTGTTTCCGGCTCTAGGGGGAGGTGCTCATCTCTATTACAAAGCCGAAGAGCCAGCGCTGTCCGAAGACGTCTCCATGTCATGTGGCCAGCATGACTAAAATGCCGAAGGCGCACAGAACGCTGTGACCTTCCCACCAAAGGGGTCCCTATTTTTCTACTTGCATTTTTTAAGTGCTTTCGAACTGCTAGGCTGGCTGAGACAAGTAACAGGAGCTCGCTCCATTACATGGTGCTAGGGATTCGAACCGCCAAACGGCCCGTCTTTTTCTGATCGACAAGCTCAGTGTCTTAGCACCTGAGCCACTGCAGCATCCTTAGGTTTGGAAGACACAAAGGATCCACAGTTACCTGAATCAAAAGAAGGGCTCCTAGTAACCCCATGTTTCACAGGGGTGAAAAACGGATAGTCTCGGCTATGCGTTCTCCCTTTCTTCTGGTTCTAACCTAGCCAACTGAATGACACGTCTAGTTTTCTCTTCTACAACTGCAGTTTCGAACAGTCTGCTCTCCCCGCCCCCATCTTTCACAATGAGAAGCAGTATAGATCCACCGCTACTCAGCCGTGCAAGTTAATAGCCTGCTGCCCCTCCCAGCTTTAACACTCCATCGAAAGAGGAGAATTAAAGCAACTTCGTTAACTCCACAACCTCCTCCGGGCACATCTGTTGGTTGTAACGAATGTCATCTTCCTAAGTGGGATGTTACAAGTTCACGATGGGCCTTCCTGATACATAATGTATGAAGGATGCTTTAATGATATCCGTGCCTTAAATTGAATCAGATCTGTGGCTTAATCACTCAAATGGCTCTTTAGAAGTTGCAAGAGATGGTTGGGTGTTTTTTTTTTTTCTTTTCCTTTTTCCCTGATAGATTAAGGAAGCAAGCGTTCCTCTCTTTAGGCGATCCTTAGCCCTGTCTTCTTAGATGTTTTTATCGATCGAGATGTTCCTCTGATGATAAGAAAACCCAGCCATGGGTCATTCCTGACAAACGGAAGAGTAAACACATTGACCGAGCATTCATGCTGTCATCGGTCATCATCTATAAGAGGTTCTCCATGTGCCTTGGTGGGTTGTGTGCTTGGCAAATCCGAAATGGCAATTGGAGATTCATTTTGCTTGCCCTAATTTTAACTGGGCTGAGTTGGTGATGAAGATGATGATGATGATTACTATTATTAAATCTTTAGTGAGATTCACACACAGCCTTTGGGGGCTGGTTGGTAGCTCAACAGCTCGAGTCCTAACCAAGGACCTAGGAACTGTTCAGGTAGCGTCGGAGGATATAAGCTGTTTCACATAGGGTAGTTTTTTGTAGAATCATGTAGAATTATTTTTGAATATTATTATTATTATTAATTATTATTATTATTATTACTACTACTACTACTACTACTAACTAGAAGGGGCATGGTCGGGTTTTGTAAGACCTCGTGTGCCTTGGGACACAGCTGTGTGAAATTATTTCCTTGGTATTGCTGTGGCTCAGGTGTGTGGCTGGGGTAATGAACTGGTTGAACAAGACCGGACAAAGTAGACAACTAAGAAATATTTCCTGCTGGTAGAGGTGTAAAAGAAATAATAAAGCATACACAACAACACGAGAAGAACTCAAATCTTCCCTGCCTGTTAAATTTTCTTTATTGTCAGCCTTTCCTTCCTTCGTTCCTTCTTTCCTTCCTTCCTTCCTTTTCTTGTAGACATTTTATCACCAAACTAGGTAACATAAGTATAGTATATAAAATCATACATTGCAATGTCCTACCTGTCAATGAATCCTTCAGCTTCAACCATAACAATACAAGATCACACAATAGATACAAACTCAAGGTTAATCGCACCAAACTTGATTGCAGGAAATACGCCTTCAGCAACGGAGTGGTCAATGCCTGGAATGCTCTACCTGACTCTGTGGTTTCTTCCCCAAACCCCAAAAACTTTTAACCTTAGACTGTCTACTATTGACCTCACCCCTTTCCTAAGAGGTCTGTGGAGGGTGTGCATAAGCGCACCAACGTGCCTACCATCCCTGTCCTATTGTTTCTTTTATTTCTTTTATTTTTCTGATATGCGTCCATGTATTCATAACTATGTTTTTACTTATACCCATTATCTTGTAAGCAATTGACAAAACAAACAAACAAACAAACAAATAAATAAATAAATAAAAACATCATCAGTGCTAGAAGTGAGTTGGGTTTGCTCCCTGTTTATGACCCAACAGAATTCCTCCAATTAAGGAACTACCAACTCAATAAAAAGCCTGATCAAGGAACCCCTAAGATCTGATGGGACAAGCCACACCATTCCCTTCTAGCACTGATGATGTGACCTAGTTGGATCATGAAATATCTGCAAGAAAGCCACTAAACTCAGAGAGCACTAAGGACCCCATAGTCTTCCTCCTGCTCCCCCTCCTCTTACTTCTCCTCCTCCTCCTCCTCCTCCTCCTCCTCCTCTCCCTTCTAGCACTAATGATGTTCCCTAGTTGGGTAATGAAATCACTGCAGGAAAACCACCAAGCTCAGAGAACACCAAAGACCCCACAAATGCAACACTCCCCACTCCTCCTCCAACCTACACAATATTAGGGGCTGGATAGTCCTGGAAACCACAGAGGGGACCTGGATTTTTTAAGACTTAGCTTTACCTTTCATCTTTTAATAGCATGTATTTTCAGAGCCGCCCTTAGTGTTTCTTTTGAAGAAATCTGGCTTGGACCTAGGCAGCGATGAACAGTAATCGCCAAAAGAACTTACTCTTCAGGCCTGCCCTTCCTTTATTTCTTAGTCACAGCCTCGACAGGTGTTTGGATATTATCCCTGGCATCGTGGTGCAGTTATTATCAAAATATAAGCTGCTTGGAGACTATCTCATATGTGGGAGAGGTCCTTCCAACTCAGCTGATAACAACATGCACAGATGCAATGAGCACCATCTGCAATACGAATTTTTGTCTGAGCTTATAAAGGATCCCATAGTCACAACAACTCACAAGTGCCTATTAATGATGACAGATAGAAGCTTAGTCAACTCTTCACTCCAATGGAGAGCATTAAAGTGTTCGGGGAAAAAAAAAAGAAATAATAGAAAACCAGTTGAAAACGGAGAGCTTGCATTTTCAGGAACCTCTTCAACTGACTTTTTAAAAGTCTTGACGATTGGAAATCTATTCCTCTCTCTCCTGACCCAGATAAAGGAAGCAGAAAGAGTCCCTGGTTTCATGTTCTGAAGTTGGTTAGTTGTTTTTTTTTTTTCAGAGAGAGATGTCCCACTGGACATTTCAAGGAAATTCAGATTTCATCCATTACCGAGTTCAGACATAATGTCGTTCCCTGGTGACCAGCAACTGTGGCTTGGAAAAACATGGTTTATGACTTAATGTCATTAATATATAATGTGATGTGAACTCCTCCTATTTTGGCCCAGTCCATAAACCATGATTAATAGAAATAGTGTCCAAGCCTGTTAAACTGTCCGACTTTTTTGGCCTAGACAGAAGGACCAATTCTGAGTCTCAATTTTGCATCCAGAAGAGATTCAAGATCCCTCTTTAGCATCTCTAAAGAAAACAACAAGGTGATAGAATATATAATTTGCAACGTGGTTTTCTTAATTTTTAGCTTAATTTAGATCCTTCTGCTGGTTGCATGATACTTATGGTAGGGCCACTCCCTAGATCTATAACATCTGTTGCACTGTGTTGTCTCCCTCCCACAATCCTGTCTGCTCAACATTTCAAGAAGAGAGGGTCAATCTTGAGCAAAGAAGAGAGGGTCAACCTATTCTCCAAAGCACCTGAAGGTAGGACAAGACGCAACAGGTGGAAACTAACCAAGGAGAGAAGCAACCTAGGAGGAATTTCTTGACAGTGAGAACAATAAATCAGTGAAATGATTGTCCTCTATAAGTTGTGGATACTCCAACACTAGAGGTTTTTAAGAAGAGATTGGACAGCCATTTGTCTGAAATGGTATAGGCGGTGGTGGGATTCAAATAATGTAACAACCAGTTCTCTGCCCTAATGATTTCTTCCAACAACCAGTTCACTAAACTGCTCAGCAAGTTAACAACCGGTTCTTGTGAACTGGTGCGAACTGGCTGAATCCCACCACTGGGTATAGGATTTCCTGCTTGTGCAGGGGGTTGGACTAGAAGACCTCCAAGGTCCTTTCTGACTCTGTTATTCCGCTATTCTGTTATTCTCTTTACAGCTCCCAAATTAGGGAGAGTCCTTTCTAAGACATTTGGCACACCCAAAGCCCTGCTGTGGGTTCAGCTATCTTTTATTTGACTTTTCCCTTGGTTGTGTTGCATTTTCCTATCTTCCAAGGTCAGATATTGCATATATCTAGAAAGAGAAAGCGAGAACAGAGCGCTTCCTGATGTAACAAGCTGATAGTTGTTCAGAGATTTATTTGTTAGCAGGAGTCAAATGGATTTTTTGCTCCATCCATTTAGAACATTAATAAAGCTATACAGATCTAATTTGTTTGCTCAAACTGGGTTAAGGTGCCCGTTGTTTGCCTATGTGCTTTAAAGTACTTGGTTATTTTCTGGAGCAACATTTTGACATTAAGAAGGAAATCTCATAACCTTGTATGCTTTTGGTCGAGTTTTAGATGTTGCAGCATGTGAGATCATGCTTTGCGGCAATGAACTGTAGTTCACTTTGCTCTTTTCTGGAAAGGTTTGGTGATATTGAATGTGATTCGTTTACAATCTGCAACATCAAACCTTTACAATGCCTTGAATCTGGATTGTCAAAATGGACGGAGAGGAGAGATAATATCTCCCAGGCTCTCGGGAATCCATTATTAAAGAAGAAAAGATGCCTTTGAATTATGGATTTCCTGTCTGGCCGCTCACCGAGGGTCAGATTAGGTAATCATACCTCTTCAGACCTTATTCTTAACACTGGTACACCACAGGGTTGTGTGCTGAGTCCCTTACTCTATACTCTTTATATGCATGACTGCATTCCCACTCATGCTAGTAATACTATTGCTAAATTTTCAGATAATACAACAGTGATTGTATAACAGTGATTCATCTCCAGGGGGGATGAGTCTGCTTACCGAGTTGAGGTGGACTGGTTGCTTTCATGGTGTGGAGACAATAACTTGGTCCTCAACACCAATAAGACCAAGGAGCTTATAGTGGACTATAGAAGGAACAGATCAGACATCCAGCCCTTGCTTATCCATGGAGACCGAGTGGAGCAACTGGGCAGTTTTAAGTTTCTGGGTGTTACCCTAAAAGAGGACCTGACCTGGGTTCCTCACATTGCAGCCCTGGTCAAAAGGGCCCAGCAGAGATTAGACTACCTGAGACTTCTCAGGAAACAACGACTGAATGAAAAACTGCTGGTGACCTTCTACCGCTGCACCATAGAGAGTATCTTAACTGACTGAACTTATGCCTGGTTAGCCAATTGCACAGGGGCAGATAGGAAAGCACTCCAGAGGGTGAATGTCATTGCCGAGAAGATCATGGGTTGCCCTCTCCCCTCTTTGGAAGAGCTTTATAACTCCTGTTGCCTTAAGAAAGTTCAAAACATCCTTAAAGATCCATCTCATCCTAGGCACCCTTTTTTTAAACTATTACCATCTGGCAGACGGTACAGGACAATAAAAACAAGGACAAATAGACGAAAAACAGCTTCCATCCCAGGGCAGTAACTTTATTGACTTCTGCTGTATTGTGCAGTATTGGTGTGGTGTTGGGGGTTTTCGGTTCAATGTGTGGAGGGTGAAGGATGTGTGTTTGTGTCTATTTTCATGGTCATGGTCATGATGTGCACTGAAGATGGTGTTTGATTTGGCTGTATGAGGTGCAATGACAATAAAGTAAACTAAACTAAACTAAGCTAAAATAAAATAAAAGTTTAGCAAAAAAGAAGGAAGGAAGGAGGGAGGGAGGGAGAGAGGGAGGGAGAGATAGAGAGAAAGAAAGAAAGAAAGAAAGAAAGAAAGAAAGAAAGAAAGAAAGAAAGAAAGAAAGAAAGAAAAAGAAAGAAAGGAAGGAAGGAAGGAAGGAAGGAAGGAAGGAAGGAAGGAAGGAAG